CACTCCTTTTCTCCTCCTTAACTCTATCATGACTTTCCATTCAACACATTCCAAACGCTGTAATCAACACTCCAAAAAATACAGGAAATCCTTCACAGCAATTCGATTTCCGGTCGCTCCGAATGTTGTGACATGCTACCCACATCTGTAAACGATAACGTACTCAAATAAACTGTACCTTCATTTAATATCCAACAATAATAATATCTCGACATCTATAGTTGTAGTGTTGAAATCAGTAGGTTTCGGTGTGCAACATCATATCATATCGCTGCTAAATTCACCTCTATAGGAAATGGTATATTAGCCTCATGCTAAATGCTAACCGGAGGTGAAGGATTTTCAGAATAAAAGTCTAACTGGTTGTGCACAAGAACTTCTGGTTTTTCAGTATAAAACAGTATTTAAACTAAAGGTACATTTAAGGTACATTATGCCATCAAAACATTGATTTTAATTTCTAACAGGGCCTCTATCTCAGGGGCCTCTCCCTCCTCTCCCTCAGGGGCCTCTATCTCAGGGGCCTCTCCCTCAGGTGCCTCTTCCTGGTCTGTTGTAGGCTCATAGTCTGGGTCGCTGTTGTCTTCCATTTCTGAGACATCTTCCTCTATCTCCTCTTCATCTGGTTCAATCTCCTCTTCATCTGGTTCAAAAATGTGTCCAGAGCCTCTCGTACAGGAAATCGCCTAATCGGTCGCCTGCTCATTGTGTCAATGAGTCAAATGTGAGCAAGGCACAAATATAACTGCTTGAGAGCCAGTAAGGGAGGCGCATTTAGCACGAGAAAGTGAGAGGTTTGTGTTTCTCGAGGGGCACAGAGCTCGCACCTGTGAGAAGGTATGATACATTGTATCATACAGCGAGAGAAAGGGAGAAGTTCCTGTAACGTGTGTGTGTGTGTGTGTGTGTGTGTGTGTGTGTGTGTGTGTGTGTGTGTGTGTGTATAGTAGTGCTGGGGGGAAACGATTATTTTGAAAACGATTAATCGGGCGATTATTTGATCGATTAGTCGACTAATCTAACGATTATTTTTCTGTTGTTCAATTCATAAAAAACGTAATGTAAAAAAAACGTAATGTAAAAAAAAAATGTTTCACGATACTGTGTCTCAGGGGATCTTAATATTTAAGAACCTATTAATGTGTTATACCAGATTAACGGAAATAATCTCAGCTAATTGACGATACAAACCATGTTTACCAAAACAAAACACAAGTCTCATAAGAAGCATCTAAATGACCCCTGAGCGAAAAATGCTAACGGACATTGGCACAGAACTCAAGATAAAAAGTACCCTTATTACTTATCGTAGCTGCACATACAATATATCCGATTAAAGCTGAGACTCCACAGATTATGTAGGTATATAGTATCATCACTGAGTGATCCGGACTCGCGACAGGGGAAGCAAATACAGTCATCACAACACGTACCTTCACAGAGCTTCTAGGGAGATCGTCTCACCACCGTAGCTGTCAATCTGATCAAAAGACGTGTTCAATGGCATTAAAATGAGAAAAAACGCGGCTGAATCGATTAATCCATAGGTTTTTAACGTAAAAAAATGATTGAATTTATAATCCATAATTCCATTTTATGTAAAAAATCGGAGAGCAAATGCTAGCTGCTAATGGTAGCCACCACAGCTAGCTGCTGCTTCTGCTAGGCTATGCAGCAGTCTCAGTGAGATATACATATATAAATATCTTTGCGTTTTGGACTAACTTTAAAATATTCCCATGCTTTTGAAGACCTAGGGCGAGATGTTTTCGTTTGGGGGCTTCGTGCGCAATCCTGTGAGGAGGAGGTGGTAGCCGTTTCAGTCTCCATTGTGTTTGAAGTGCGATTGCGAACTGCTTGTTGCTTTGGGTGACCCACGTGTGTGTAGCGACGCGTCGACGCGGAAATATGTCGTCGACGATATTTTGAAGTCGACGTTGTCGACGCGTCGCTACAGCACTAGTGTATAGATGTTTTCCATCTGCAGGATGAACATAATACACTCATACCCATTCATTTTCTATGGCGGTCAAATCTGACCGAAAACGTCAAGGGTGTTTCACTGTTGAATAAATCACTCAAAATTCAATGCAAGTGGTGATCATCAAGTGTATAGGTTCAGAGGCCTAGTGTGGAGGATAACATAAGGTATTGAGGCAATTGGATGAAAAACACAATATTTATGATTAAAATAAAAGTAATTCGGTCACTTTTGATCCGAAACGCAAGAGAAGGGTTAATTAAGTGATGGATTATAAACACATTTGAAATGTGGCTTGTTGTTGTTTTGGAGTAAAGTAGTTTTTTCCTCTTTCTATGGGTTTATTCTCCGGAAAAAATAATCATATTTTAGATGGGTTAAATTATTTAAAAAATGTTTAAAACCCACTGGTGTGATGCTCTGTTTCCACTACTAACATCACATCATTGTGGAAAGTGCACAGTCTGCATTTGTATGCAGACCATGTTCACTCACTGGACTACATGCAAGTGGAATGTCAACTATGTGGACTTGGATTGGCAGGACGGGGAGGGGGCTGTACTCTGATCACAGATTGTACCGAAGGATCCTGTGGCCTGATAATCCTATTGCTAAAAAATCTCTAGTTTCCCTCTAGGCCTACTGTGCATCTCTTTTGCTCAACACAGTGTACGGAGGCAGTGCACGGTGCTGTGAGTGAGGGGGAAGGTGGTCATTATTCTTTGGGCCCTGCCTCTCCACACTACTGTGCAATTGTGCTGTACAAGTGTATCTGCAGTGGCGGTTCTAGACCAATTTGACTGGGGGGGCCAGGCTGGGGCCAGTTATTTTTTGACGGGGGCACAATAAATGCAGGACGAAAAAGACAAAGACAGTATGAAGTAATTGCGCATAAGAAAACAATGCAATACAGTTATTGGTATTTGTTTCAGTACACTTATTTATTTCAGATACTTATAGTTACAGTTTTTACGCTCTAATGCAGGGGTCTCCAACCTTTTTTAGGATGATAGCTACTTTCAAAAAATCGTGTTGTGAGCTACTTTTATTCCTCTTTTTGTTTTGTTTTTTGCAGTGTATATATTTAGCACATTTTAACATTATTATATCCTTACCTTTAACCTTTGTGTGCTGTTTGGGTCTGTGGGACCCGTTTTCAGTGTTTACTAAAAGAAAATGTATGCAATTTAATTATTTTAACCTGCTTTATTTGGGGGGGGACCTAACATCCTCTAGGGGGGTCCGGGGGCATGCTCCCCCGGGAAGATTTTATTTTAATTGTTGAAGTTAAAAGCATCAATCTGGTGCACTTTGAGCCCAAAATGAATTCATGGATACAGCTCTCAACACTCATATGAAAGAGAGCTGTATACTTTTCAATAATCAAAACATCTTTAGAATATGATCACAACCAATAATAAATCATTTAAACTTGCTTATTCTTATTTTATGTTACCTATAGTTTAGTTAGCATTCTTTCTTTTTATTTATGCATATTTTACTAATCACTCCCCTTTTAAACTTTTTTTTTTTTTTACTGTCTTATAGTACACATTGGAATGGCCACAGGGGGGTCCAAAGTCAGTGTTAAGGGGAACTGGCCCCCCTTTCCCCCCCCCCCTAGAACCGCCCCTGAGTGTATGAGACGAGTATAACATCCCGAATGCCTATTGTAGACAGTAGCACAATACATTTGGCTACTCTACTTTATTACAGTTTTGGAGTATGTGTACTTAAGCTTGGTATTTTTATTTACAGCTACTTCATACAAATCCATACAATTCAGAGGCAGCTCCATTTATTTGTAGAGCTTTAGTGACTTTGAAGATTCAGATTCAGCATAATACAAGATATAACCAACAAATGACTTATTATGCATAAGTATAGGTTGAGACCAATCAATATGATCCCTTGGTGAAATTCACAAGCTACCACTGATATATTTAATATATATTGATATATTTGTATGATGTATTTTATTAATCATTTTTAAAAAGCACCTCCTCTACCAGATGCAACATAGAAGCAATGGAATATTTATAATCCAAGTTCCAACAATATAACATATCTTGTTCTGAAATGGTCCATTGTGCTGAATTAATACATTTACTTTTTTTTACTATAAATGTTATTTGAAACTCATATTTTCTACTTCTATTTATGTAAACTTTTGAATGCAGGGAATGTGCATATATTACAATTACAACACATTTACCTAACAGTTATGAAAGTGGTTAAGGAATACTAAATCCATAAATAAGGCCTAACAAAAGGTTGTAGGCCGAAGCTTGATGAAATGGAGCCTTTACTTACACTTAACAAGGCAATTAACTCTACCCAAAATAGCAATCAAAACAAAACTAGAAAATGTAAATGTATTTAAGAACCATCATATCATAAATAAGCAGATAGTTAAAACTGTAATGTGTAAAATAACAATCAACAAATCATAACAAATAAATAAAAACAAAGTGGGGACAATGATGAACATCATGGATACATTAATTGTCACAACTAACTATACGATCAGTTGTACTGTACACCTCACCCATTGTTCCCTTATTTGTATATGACCTTCATTTCCAATCTTCATGTTTTTAAATGTTGTATATTTCATTTTCAAGATCCATTAATTTAGAGTGAATTAGATTATCATCTATTAATCAGTTCCTTATATTGTGTTTGCTACAAATAATTAAAAGTAAGCCTCTTTCTTCTTGATCTTTTGGTGTTTTTCCAAGTAGTAGGATAAGTGGGTCAAAATGGGCCCTGAACTCATCACCTTAATGCAATGCAGACATATTTAAACCTATTAATTGTACCTGTGCTTTTCTGTTATGGAGTCTTATATTTTCCAGTACAAATGTTAGTAAAATATCCTTTAAAAAAGCTATTTACTGTCTCTAATTCGCGTGTTTGTGTGAGAGGGTGGGGGAGGTTGTTGTAGCGTGGAGTATAGCCCACTTGACTCCATTTCCCAAAGTGCACCGCGCCACATGATGTTCCCAACAGCTGACAGACGGTGAAAGCCTCTGCCAGAGAGCTGTCGGTGGAAGAGAGTAGCCTGTCGTCGGTAGCCTGTACGGACCGAGAACACAAGCCGAGCTCTGCTGCTCTTCGGCCCGCTTCACCACCAGTCACCGTCGAGCACCGCGTTTTCATAAATTAAAAAAACATTAGCATCCTGACTTTCTGTCCTGAATTGGAGTTTAGGGGACATTCGCTGTCAGCTAACTTCCACAATAGGTCGCTGCGTCGCTGGCTGGACTGCTGCATGTGTTTTTATTGTCGCCTAACAGTTTGACTCCAGCCCCCTTCCACCCGTGCCCAATGCTGAGGAATGGATAGTGTGTCTGCTACCGGGGGGAAGATGGTGGAGAGTGATGAGCAGCCGGAGAGGGGAAGCGGCGGCGGCGGCGGTGTTGGTGGCGCAGCGATGGCCGCACTACATCAATGCGAACTCATCCAGAACATGATTGAAATCTCCATCTCCAGTTTACAGGGGCTCCGGACCAAATGCGCCGCGTCCAACGACCTCACACAACAAGAAATACGCACTTTGGAGGTAATGCGCTTATTTTTTAAATAATAAATATGTCCTGCAATAGAGAGCACTGTAGTCAAATTGCGGAGTCATGAAGCCCTAACACCATGTCCGCCTCGTATAGGCTGAATATCGGCTGCAAGCGAGGCGCCCTATCACTGAGTGTCACTGAGCTGAGCACATTCTGTCGCTTACAATAAACCACTGATCCGATGCATTGAGGTGCATATATCAAAAATGATATTGAAATGTCTGCATGTGTTATTCCTGTAGAAGATTCGTTGTGTGACCTCTTTTTCGAGGTGGAAATATGCTGGGATACTTCGCTGGCCTAATGGCACACATTCAATAATCTGATGCTGCTATAATTTACGCTACTGTGTGCTGTTCCCTGCACAGGATTTGGAGTCTGCGGATTATCATATGGCACGCTACACAAACAAAATACAAATGTATGATGTGTAGATCTGTTTGCCAGACCGGATTTTCCTGCATCTGGATGCATATTGTGCTCATTGGTTTTGGGATGACTTGACATTGCTTTGCGCAAGAGCCATGGCTTCAAAGGGCCTCAGCATATAGGCAGTGAGTGAGGTATCAGCAAGAATGCACTATTCTAGCCTTTCAACCATTACCATGTATATTATAAAAGAATAGCTGCAAAATAAGATGCTTCTATCACCATAATCAGGAGTGCTTTTTATATAAAGGGACTTATAATTTATTTTGTAATTGTACAATGCTATGATGATGTTATTGTCCTTTTTTATACATAGGCTATAGTTTTTTCTATCTCAGGCCTTCAGCTTTCCATCCTTGGGATATTTACAGTCACATATTGTTTTTGCAATATCCTCAGCTGCGAGATGACTGGAGGAATCATGTCATGGAAAGTCCAGCTTCATGTTGTTAGTAACAATGCCATGAGGGGACATAAGGCCCGGCTTCTGCAGAGGAGGGTGATGGGGAAATGGGGGTTGGTGTGTTGGGGTGCAAAAGGCTGATACAGTGGATTTTAATGAGTCTTGAAAAACTGTTTCGTAGCACAAAGTTGAAAGGCTTACAAATGTGAATGTATCTTTAGTATTGGCTCCAGACACATGCAGACATTCTCGAGACATGATAGATGGTAAATGGCTTTTCTGCCTCATGGTTTATTTAGGCGTTATACCTTGGATAAAAGGAATATTCACTCCTGATTGGCTGGAGGCTATCAATTATCCATGTCTGTTTTATTTCTGTATAACTGACACCCAATGAACAATTGTGAACGAATGTTCCAGAAAGCTCCGAGAATGTAGTTTCAGTCACACATGAGATGCAATATGACCTTCAGAATGGTCAAGAAGCAACATTGGTAATTTGCAGATTTACTGTGTTTCTGCTACTTTTGCATGTTTTCCTGAGCAGGCCAGCTAGCCACAAAAAAATCAACAACAAATATCAGTTTGTATTTGTGATACACAAATAAATGAACAACCTAAAAGAAGTTGATGACAGAGCCATGATATAAGTGCAGCTTTTTTCCATTTTCATAATGCCAACAAAATATTTTCATAGTTCTTTAGCGAGCTGGCAGGTTTGATCTACAAGTTGGCCAGACACTGTGTGGGGACCCTTTTTCTCCCGCTCAAGTAAAGCAACCCAGGAAGTATTAACTGGCTAAAAACATGGTCTGGAAAAAGAGTGTACACAAATAAATGTTGAAGTCAAGTTCACGGCCTGTCCCGCCCTACATACTCCGATCTTCTTCTTCTGTGGTCATGCGTGCTGCGTCACTGCGTGCGAACGGGACGTGATCTGGCAGAGTACTTCCTGAGGTGCGCTGTCTTTCAGATGCTTTTTGCACTGGCATTGTTCTACATGACAATGTTCTTGTTCTTTCCTGTTTCTTGACACCTATTAAAGCTGCTCTGAGGGGTATTTCCTGTTGTAAGAGAGTTGTGAAGGGGGGATCCCTGAAAGTAAGAAGTGCAAAATGTGATACCTCAAGTTAGCTTAGCTTGTTTGTAGTTTAGCCAGGTTCATTGTTCTTCCATATTGCAATTTGAGGATGAGAACAACTAGGATTGATTGGAAATGTACCACTTGCCTCAGAATGATCACTGGCGTTTAGCTGCTGAACTGGAAACAGGTACAGTAGTTGTTTCTGATGTACAGTACAACGTGGATTTCCTTATATTATTTGGATTCAAGCCTTGTTTTCATTGGTTATACGTTTTGTCTCAATGGTCAAACTATTTGTACTCTTCAGCCCTACCCAGTCTATGGCCCTACCTCACATGCAACAGCATACGACTTCAAGTTGTTTAAACTGTTTCAAAATATGTATTTACTGAAGACAAATGTGACTAAAAATGGGATCACAGTTAGTGTTAAAAAACATTCAGAAAATTCTGTTGAACTGATCTTTTGCCGTCGGTCTCATAATGCATCAGCAGAATTGTTGATTCATTTGAAGTATGTAAGATATGTGGAGCTGACTTTGATCAGTTCCAGTTTGTAGCTGCAGGTGCTTTGAAAAACGATTTTTAATTTTAAGATGACTATTTTTCCTATTTTTATTTGTATTCATAAACAAAGGACGAGATAATTAAACAGTAGTTCTTCTTGCTTTGCATTGATTCTTTATTTCAGATTTTTGGAAGCATCATTCCTGTCAAGGGCAGAAGTCACAACTATTTAAAAAGAGAATGTGATAATATATAGAAGACAGTATTCAACTTCATAAGTCATAATACATATTCTCCCTTTTTCTTTTTAACCTGCTGAACATTAAACAGAAGTTTTAGATATGTGGTTAAGTCTGCCAGCTTCATTGTTGCTGCTCTTTGGCCTTTAAGAACCCTGTGAGGAAAACCGAGGTAAGAGAATGTCTCAGTACTGAACTCTTTAATTGCATTCAAAAGGCATCGTAAAGTTAATTGGTCAAGAATGTTATGTTTATTCAAACAATACATTAAAACTATTTTTTGATTTTCTTCTAGATGGGCATTTTATTTTTAAGCTAGTGATCGCTGATCCGGGTCAAATGTCAGAGTCGAATGTTGACCTCATTTCTAAGCAGCCTAGTATTTTAACGGGTTTTCTGGCCGGGCATGGGGCACTGTCATGATCAGCAGACTTACTTCCTTTATCTTTACTGGCACACCATTTTGAAACCACATCTTGCCATAAGTGTACACTTTCACTTCCTTCTCCAGCCCTCCTTCAGATGTTCATTTGGCACATGCGTAAGTCAGTCAGCAGACTCTGATCATAGATTTACGCTGACTCTAAAGACCCTGGTAGATTCAAAATGTTTGCCATATACTGTATGTCAGGTGCTGTCATGACCAAGATATACAGAAAACGCATCTCTGTTGTGTCTGTACCTTGACCCAATGTTGTGAGAGATTTACAATGGAGCTATACCCTCCAGGTCGAAACAGTGAAGCCAATGTGGAAGTGCCTTAAACCTGCATCATCTTTAATTTCCTGCAAATGGTTGCAAAAAGAATTATAATTGTGTAGAAGTCCATGAGAAAATGGCCATACTTCTAACTTGATGTATTACCTCAGTTTATATTTTACTGACAAGTTTATGGGCTCAAACGCTAGATTTAAGTCTTCTTCTTCGTTGTGCTTATTTTGCACATGATAGTTGCATTTAAAGTAAATAGACAACCAAGCAGGGTTTGCTTTAGGGCTTGGCTACCTTGTGATTGACGTTTGATGTTGTCTGTGTTTTTTTCAAAGGGTTTTACATTTTTTACGGTGTGTTTTCAGTTTAAAAGTTAATTGTAAAATCACCTACAAATGGCTTTTTCAGCATTCGTTTGTCACTTCTTCTTTTGTCACTTCTGGCTCCTAATAAATCAAGATGGCGGGGGCCAAATTGCCAAACTCAAGGCCTCAAAACCTTAGTCCAAAAACGATTGGGTGACATCTCAGTGACTAGGTCCTCTTCATATTTACAGTCTGCGTTTATAATATAGCCCCTGCCATTATCTTGAAATCAAAGCAAGCACCTGTAAACCATCCTGTAGCAGCTACACGTAATATATATGATTACTACAAACGCTTGGAGCGCCGTGAGGTCGGAGTAGTTGTCACATTCAAGGTGCAAAGGGGCATCGCTCCAATATTGCACTGGAGTGCCATCGAGAGAGACTTGATCTCACTTTATACTCTCATTGAAAGAGCTTTATTATTCCACTTGAACTGTGTGTGTGTGTGTTTTTCTGCCTTTTGCCAGTGAGAGGATAATGATACTGGCCTCTCAAATGGAGTGCTAACTGGTACTTCACTTTTCACATGTTAATCCCACTCAGCCTGGTCTCTGCCCCTTTGATACGTTTACTGTAACTCTTTATATGTTCCTGTCATTTTGACCAACCAAATTACTCGACATAATACACACATTTAGAAACAACAATTCAAACCATGCTGGAAACCCTTTGCTTATGATTTACATAACCTAAATAAAGTGTCCAAGATTTTTTTTTTTTACATAAAAGCAATTCTTATCTTGTTTAATCACAGCTGTCTGGGTAATGATCAGCAAACAGGAAAGCGTCACTCTGTCTTGTCTCCTCACGGTGTTGGAGAGAGTTTGCTGTGCGAGCTGTTGTGGCTGCATCTATATTTAGACATCTTTCTTCCTACGCATTTTCAGGGTTGGTTGTTAAATAAGAAAATCAAATGACGCGCAAAGAGCCTGTGCAAGAGGGGAGAGCAGGGAGGGGAGAATCAAAGCCAATCTGCTGGGCTACTTCTTAGTGGTGGTGTGTGTGTGTGTGTGTGTGTGTGTGTGGGTGTGTGTGTGTGGTTGGGTGTGTGGTGTGTGTGTGTGTGTTGTGTGTGTGTGTGTGTGTAGTGTGTGTGTGTGTGTGGTGTGTGTGTGTGTGTGTGTGTGTGTGGTGTGTGTGTGTGTGGGTGTGTTGTGTGTGTGTGTTGTGTGTGTGTGGTGTGTGTGTGTGTGTGTGTGTGTGTGTGTGTGTGTGGTGTGTGTGTTGTGTGTGTGTGTGTGTGTGTGTGTG